TTTTATTTGAAAGAAGCTCAGGGATGCCACAGGTCAGGGAAATTAGAGAATTCAGGGAAAAGTCAGGAATTTTTATTAAAAGTACTGGAAAAAAAATAAATGTTTAGAATTTATAAGAAAATTCTAAATTTTGTTGTCTCTTTGTTTGCCTCATAAACTATGAAATTACCACGAATTTTATGAATTTTTCAATTTTCAGGAATATTAGCAAAATTTATTGCAAAATTCAATTATTTTCATAAATAACAACATTCATTACAAGAATTCAATTATTTTCAAAATTAATAACATTCTTCGCAGAAATTCAATTATGTACTTTCAAAAAATCTAAAAAAAATTGTCGTCAACATTTCAATTATCTTTATAAATGAATATCAAAATTCTTCGACAAAATTAAATTATTTTCAGGGATTTTACTAAAATTAATTTAAAAATTCTATTATTTTCATTAAATACGAGTGTTCATCACAAAAATTAAATATTATTTTTAAAAATTCTTCTTAATTTGATGATTTTCAATATTCTACTATTTTAATAAAATTTCTTAAAAGAATTCAATTATTATTTAAAAATTTTGATAAAATTCAATTATTTTCCAAACAAATAAAAATTCCACAGGAATTTAATTATTTTTAAACATAGAATTTGCATAAATTTTTGCGAAAAAATCAAATGTTTTAAAAATTTGGCATTAAATTCTTCGCAGTAATTCAATTATTTTTATAAATAATCATTCTGAATGATTATCATAATAAAATCATTCTGAGGAAGTCAATTATTTTCTTAAATAAAATATTCATCACAAGAATTCAATTACTCTAAAAATTTTTAATAAAATTCATGGCAAAATTTCAATTATTTTCAAAATTTTTTCTTAATTCAATAATTTGTATATCAATTATTTTAATAAAATTTCCCAAAGAAATTCAATTATTTAAAAACAATTTTAACAATATTTTACAGTAATATTCAATTATTTTCTAAAATAATGAAAATTTCACAGGAATTCAAATATTAAAAATAGAATTTGCATAAATTTTTTTTGAAGAAAGTCAATTGATTGAAACTTTTTCGTAAAATTCTTTCCCAGTGATTCAATTATTTTCATAAATAATAAAAGTTATTGTAAAATTTCCATTATTTTTAATACAATTTTAATCGAAGTCTTCGAAAAATGTAATTATTCATAAAAATGGTATTAAAATTCGTCGAAAGAATTCAAATATTTAAAATTTTGTTGTTAAAATTATGTATAAGAATTCAATTTTAAGAAAAAAAAAATTTACTTAAAAATTAATTTCAGTTAAAAAGTTTTAGATTATAATTGAGTTTTGGAGAAGTTACTAATAATTGCAATTTTTAGAAAAAATTGAATTTTGTAAAGGTTTCAAGTTAAAATCTTTGAGAATCTGAATTCTTATAATATAAAATAATGATTTTATTAGGTACTCGGTCATCTTCTATATTCTAAAATATAGGGTAGAGTGGGGTAAAAAAGCCATGGTGTAAAAAAGCCATTTGAGTTTTATTTAAAAACTATTAAGCCGATTTATCATCTGTTTAGAATATAAATACTATTAGGTAATACGCAACTTTTGAATCTAGTTTGAATGTTGTACCTAGATTAATATTGTTTTTATTGTAATTTTAATTTTTTGTTGCTTTTTTGAAAACATTTTGGTGAACTATTCAAACATATTACAGTCTGATTAAGTGAACGAATAATAAAAATAAATGTTTGTACATAAGGAGAAAAGTATACCGAAAACGTATACAATGTTAATTTTTGGAAATTGAACTGAATTAACAATTTATTTTTGCTTTTTTTAATAACTAGTCTTGGGTGTAAAAAAGCCAGGGCAAAAAATCCATTGAATATTTTGTGAAATTCACTTGTTTTCTATTTAAACTAACCTTCTTATTTTACAAAAATTTCTCGTGTTTATTTAATAAAATAAATTAAACACGACGAAAAAGTAGTTCAAAGTGCATTAAAAAAATAAACAATGAATAAACGGTTGCAACGAAATTTGTTATCTGTGGTGAAACTTAAAGAGAACTTCTAAAAAAGGTACGAAAAATTGGCAGTGCAAATCGAAAACAGGTAAACTCTATATAATTTTCAATTTTGCTTGCTAAAAACTCTTTCATAATTATTAAAATATTTTTCAAATAAGACTATTTGTCATATAAATAAAGGAAAACTATAAAAATACCTAAATTGATAACATGTTTTGCTAAAATCGTAGGGTGGCTTTTTCACCCCACCAGGTGGTGCAAAAAAGCCACTTACAGTGCTTCCGTAAAACTCTTATAACTTAGTCCTTTCATGAGATAAAAAATATTTCCGTCAAGAATTTTCAAGCTTAATAACTAAACTTTCAATAACAATTGGAAATTTGAGAAAAAAATTTTAAATACAGATTTTACAGCATCAAAAGTAAAAATGTGGCTTTTTTACCCCACTCTACCCTATATTTATTTTTTAATTCTCCTAAGTTGTTGAATTTCAAAACTGTTTGAATTTGAATGTTTTGAAGAATTTTAATTCTTTCGGAAAAATAATATTGATTAAATATTTATTCAAAAAAGAAGTTATTGATGTTTTTGAATAATTTTACAATTTGAAGAAATTCGTAAATAAATGTAATCGAACATTTTTTTGAGTATCTAATTATTTTTAGAGTGATTTATCACTGTTAACTTTAAAGTATCAAATTGCAACGAATTGATACCAAAAATGTGGATCAAATAAAAAATTGATCCAAATTTCTAGCATCAATTTGATCCACATTGGTATCAATTTGATCCACATTAATATCAATTTGATACTTTCGAGAAAACTGTGTTCAGAATATTCTTTAGGGTCAGGAAAAAAGTTGAAATTTTCATCTAGAAATCATCAGTGAAAAGTCAGGGAAAAAAATTAAATTTCTGTGGTAACTCTAAAGCTTTTTTATTTAAAAGAGGCTTTTTATATTTGAAAGAAGAATTTTTATTTAAAAGAAGCGTTTTTTTATTTGCAGAACTTTGCGAAATTGTACATATATATAGGAATATGCTTGTTTTGATCGATTAAAAGTCATTGAATTATATTTCATTCGGACGACATCTGTTCGCTGATCTGGTTGATTTGACCTTACATTTAACCCGTGAATAGTTTAAAATTCTGCGTGTGATAACTATTTGCTCTTATCGCGATTCTTTGCTTCTTTATGTATATTGTAAAATAGCGAAGCAAATGCAAGCGACCAAATAAATGTTTTAGTTTTCCTATTTTCATTCGCTCGTGGTTTTTGATAACAAAATATATACAGCATCTCCCCTCGACAATATTGGTTTGTTTTTTTTATTCATTTCAATTTAAATGCGAGCTCTCTTTCTCTCGTCTGCTTTCTATTATCGTTCTACGAACTTGAAGGGGATGAAGTCATTAAAAAGCAACCGGTTGCTATTTTCATGCCTCTTGGTGAGTCTTCTTTTCGAATTAACCGAATGCATCATTAAATCAGCCAGGTTACATTATACGGAGAGAGAGAAGATCAGTTACTAGCAACGTTGGAAGCCAGTCACGAACCTCCTTTTTGTCCTTCTTTTTTACCATTATTATCAGGACCGTCTCTAGGCTAGCTTGAACCCATATTTATCCTTCCATTTTATTTCTTTATTTTGCAAAAAAAGGGACTCGAGAAATTACGTAAGAAAAGTTTATATAGAGTGAGGAGTTTGTTTGAAAAGAAGATTCTCTCGAATATCGTGGAGAGTCTGTAAAGTTTTCCCGATTATCGATAACCCCTCCGAACGGTAGCAGCAGAGTCGGCATTGATTAATTCAGGGCCCCGGGCTAGAGGGTCTTGTTTCCTCTCAAAATAAACTTATTGATCGCTATTTTCCAACATTATGCAAATATATTTCAAAAGATTTAGTCTCAATATTCCTTTTATCATTGGAAATAATTATTCACTTTTCCTTCGTTTCTCATCTCGCCGAATGCGCTAGCTGCTACTGGTAATAAATTTAATTTATAAATGATTTGTCATAGATACGTGTATTTTTTCTGCGGGTAAAAAAAATTTATATATGCCCTCTCGTAATTAAATGAATTGATTCTGACAAATTTACTTCAGGCGTGAATAGAATATATATACGAATGTCTAGACCAGATAAATAATGTCACACTACACAGAAAAGAATTTTAATTTCTTGATCAACTTCCAGACTGTTTCATAATGAAGTCAAATTACTGGAACATTTATTAGGTATTTCATGATAATTACACGCATTCTTTCTCACTTTTTTTTTTTAACTCTGCTCATATATACCGAAGCTGATAATATTACTGCTTGGTTGCATATAGCCATCGAGCACGTGCGCACTTTACAGTGGCATATATATGAAACTTGAAATCTAACCAAGAAAGGAAATTTGTCATTTTTCAGATTCAGAGAAAAAAAAACAAGAAACTATTTCTTTTAGAAGCGAATAAAAATTATTGCGATTCGAAGGACTTTCAAATTATCAGACTTTTCGTATCCTACTAAAAACTACTATTTTATATTTTTTACGATTTGATACTATTTGGATACTTTTTTTTTACTGATTTGAATAACATTTGAAAGCAATAAAAAAGTTCGTCATTGCTTAAAATCGGTTAAAAGAACCTATTCTGTTACATCTAATAGAATTTAAATAGTCTACGAATTCTACACTACAGCATATATTATGTTCATCCGAATCAATCTTTTTTTTGGCGAAACTTTCTGAAATCCTATATTTACTTCTCCATTACAGAAAAGAGAAACACTTTTATATATTTCGACACCTTTTATTTTATATGGGTCTCATAAATTATTCTCCTGATGATTTTTATACACTACACTGTAAATTATAAATAGTTCGTTTAATGTATAGGCATTTAGAAGAAAAAAAATACTTATATTGAATTTAAAATTACTATTGCGTAACAAATATTGATGCAACTTTTTATAATAATTTTTCAGGAAACTGTTGCTGCGCGAATAACTACGGCAAACAATAAAAGTGGTGAGTGATTACTAAAAAATTACTAAATCTTACAACATAACAATAGTTATTTAAGCATAAGAAAAGAAAAAGAAAAAGACGTGGAAGTGAAAGAAAAGCATACGGTATAATTAAAGATAAAAATAACTGTCTAGTTTTATAATATAAACTCTCTTACATACATATTATACTTTATCATTATAAACTGCATGCGGCACATGTTTGTAAAAAGATCGGTTTATTAGAAGGTTGATTGCACAATTTATTATATGCGAACAGACGCATATTCCAACATTGAATATGAATTTTCATAATTATTATTGAATTCCATTCATTGAAAAATTAATTTCTTATCAGGAGCTGCTCATATTTGTTAATGAACTGATCCTAGGGTCCTAAAAATCCTAGGTTTTTAAGGGGGTCATTCACAAACTACGTAAGACATTTTTTCTAATTATAACCCCTCTCCTCCCCCCACATACATTAGCGCCATTTTTCTATTGACCCCCCCCCCTCTCTAAATCCTTACGTAGTTTGTGAATATCTCCTAACTATAATTTTGATCCCCTCTCTTATATGAATTAATAAATATTATAATTAACACTTTCCACTTAATATAATATTGAACAAACTCTTTTTTATTTTGAATTTCCCGCCAAAAGTTCTCTAAATCCCCGCCTAGATGGCATGAAAATTCGCTCGTAAACGACGTGAAGCGAATCTAAATATGGAACTTCTGCTTAGTTTTGACAAATTTTTGTACTATTTCCAGAGAAAATTTTTTTTCGTCCAAAGTAGAATTTAATTTCTGGCCGAATTTGCTTCGGAAATGGAAAAATTTACACATTCGAAAATTCAGTGCTGCCAGATTGGAAGATTTTTCTTCAAATCTAAAGAAAATTAAAGCAATCTGCGATATTTGAAGAATTTCAAAAAATATTCTAAAAATGAAGATTTTTTGAAAATTTTGCGAAGGCTGTGTTATCAAGTAATAATGAAAATATTTATAAACATTTAAATAATATAAACAAACCATTATTTTAAAATTAATTATAATTTTTTTTCTTTATATTCTTATGACTATAATAATAAATATCATAATTATTATTTACTACAGTAAATGTTACTGTTTCACTTATTATTTTGCAAATTAAAAAATTTTATACTTTCAAATATAAACATCAATTATTGAATAATTTCAGATTAAAAATCTTAAAAAATAAACTTATTAACTATTCCTTTTTGCTAGTATTAAATTATTTTAAAGAATTTTTAATAAAATTCTTGATAAGAATTAAGTTGTTTTCAAAAATTTTAATAGAACATTTTTTGAAAGAATTCAATTATTATTATAAATAGTAAAATTCATCGCAGGAATTCAATTATTTTCAAAACAATTTTAATAAAATTTCACGAAAAGATTCAATTATTAAAAAAAATGTTTATAAAAATTCTTGTTAAGAATTAAATTATTTTCAATAATTTTAATAAGATGGATGAATTTCATTACTTTTATAAATAATAATATTTTTTGCGAGAAATTATCTCAAAAGAATTCAATTATTTAAAAAAATGTTTGATGAAATTCTTCCAATTACTTTAATTATTTTCCAATTTTTTGATAAAAACTTTGCAAGAATTTAGTAATTTTCAGTGAATTAATTTTAAAATTCAAAACATTGGAAAGGGAAATTTATTAAGAAAGTTGAGAAGCAAACAAAAACTAACTTCAAACTGCAAACAGATTCAAACACAACAATATTAATTTCTTTCTTTAAAATTGTTTGTGAAATTTAATTTCATTTATCATATTTTACAAAAAATTGTAACCAACATTTTGAAAAAAATTTTTTGACTAGTTGAAAAATTTCTGAAGAAAATTTTTAATTACCTGGCAGCACTAATGGTAATTAACATTTTCAAAAATTTTTTAATCAAACCTTTTTGAATTTCAACAACTTATAAGAGTATTATTATAAAACAGGAAGTTATCGATCAGTCCGAGTCGAAGACTCGGAGTGATCTATAACTTCATGTTTTATATTAATTTAAATATTCCTAAAATTTTTCAGAAAAAATCAAATTATTTACAAAAATTTCCATAAAATTCTTCGTAAGAATCCAATTATTTTTACAAAATAAAAATAAAATCTTTCACATAAATTCAATTATTTTAAAAAATGTAATAAAATTCGTTGTGTAAGAATACAATTATTTTCATAAATAATAAAATTGTTCATAGGAATTCAATTATTTTTAATAAAATTTCTAATTAATTCCTCGAAAAATGTAATTAATTTTAAAAATTTTTTGCAAGAATTTAATTTTTTGAAAAATTCAATTATTTCATTCTTTGGAAGAATTCAATTATTTTTATAAAAAGTAAAATTCATCGCAGGAATTCAATTATTTGAAAAATTCAATTATTTCATTCTTTGGAAGAATTCAATTATTTTTATAAAAAGTAAAATTCATCGCAGGAATTCAATTATTTTCAAAACCAATTTTAATAAAATTTCACGAAAAGATTCAATTATTTAGAAAAGATTTTAATAAAATTCTTGTTAAGAATTAAATTATTTTCAATAATTTTAATAACATTCTCTGGAAGAATTTGATTCTTTTTATAAATAATAATATTTTTTGTGAGCATTTAATTATTTTCCAAAACAATTTTAATTTAATTTTCTCGAAAGAATTTATTAAAAAAAATTTTTGATATAATTCTTCAAATTTTAATTATTTTTAAATTTTTTAATAAAAATCAAGAATTTAGAAATTTTTAGTACATTAATTTTAAAATTTCAAAGATTAAAAAAGAAAATTTATTAAAAAAGTTGTGAAGAAAACAAAAGTATAACTTCAAACTGCGAACAGGTTCAAACATAACATGATTTATTTCTTTAAAATTGTTTGTTTAATTTCATTTATCATATTTTAGAAAAAATTATAATCAAAATCTGAAGAAATTCTTTTGACTAGTTTAAAGATTTCTGAAAATAAATAAGAAAAGTTTGAAGATTTGAGATTTTTTGAAGATTTTTTTTTAATCATCTGGCAGCAGAGTCCAGAATTCGGAAACTATAGTAAAAATTAACAAGTGATCAGAAATTCCGTTTCAGTTTAGGTTTTACTGCATTTGTACAGTAGAAGTTGTTGTATTCTTTTTTTTAGTGCAGATATACTGTGAGTGTAAATATATAATATAGTCGATCAGATAAAAATGTAGAAATATGGCATAGATTATTGGGCACTTGGATAATAATGATCTCAAGGTGGGAAGTTTTCTTTATTTATTTTTGATGGTGTGTAATAGTGGTTTTTTAGAACACCCTTTCCATGTTGTTTTACTAGTCATAATATATATACGACTGTTGCGGTCCTCTTCGCAGTTACTAAAGATTTATATTGAATAACTCAAGGTCATGAAAAAGGTTCAAGAACGCTGCTTCAGCGCCGTTCACCATTATTCGCTCTTTCTTCGAAAGGTAGAATTAGAATAAAGAATGCGAATCGTGATCTTGCATTTGCCATTCCTCTTCTTGTTCTATAAACTCTACTCTAGGCATTTTTTTCGTTTGCGGGAAAAAACACTTTCTTTTTGGCAAATTTTTACCAAATAAATAACCTTTAACGTCTTTTCTAGGTTCCTGAAGTTAGCGTCGATGCTTAGGTTCAGAAAAACTTAGTTTGGTTCAATTTGTTTTGGTTCTTTATTGGTTCAAAAATTGGACAATTTCTAGGTTCCTAAAGTTAGCGTCGATGCTTAGGTTCGGAAAAACTTAGTTTGGTCCAATTTTTTTTGGTTCTTTATTGGTTCAACAATTGGACAATTTCGACGCTAAATTGTCGCTAACTCTCTGATAACGGATTATTTAAGGATTTTTAAGGTTTATTAAAGGATTTAGAAAAATTACTTTAGAGGAAACTAATATTCGGTGCGCCAATTATTTTTTCAAACATAATTAACACTGAATTCACACACACACACACACACACACACACGAAATTTAATGAGAGAAACGCGTGGCAACATTTTTCATTATTCGAGGGGTAAATAGCCATTTCTGAAATCTACAAGTTCCGACGAGAAATTACGAGTTCGTAAAAGTTCCCCTTTTATATAGTTCGCACGTGTGCATCCGGTAAATGTTTCCCTTAAAGCTAACAATAAAGTCACAGTTTCTATTGCCACTATTAATTTCACTAAAATCATTAATTAAATTCCATTCTATCAATTTTTGAAAGCCATCGGAAGGGGGCAACAATTCTCCTTTCGTAGGAATAAAATAATAAAACGTTTTTCATAAGACCTTGTTTAATAGCAGAAAGGACTTTTAAATTCACGTTCCAAAATTATTAGTCGTACGTGAAATTTTGTCTCTGCTTTCTGCTTTACAATATTTACTTCGGAGTTTTTTTGCAGATATCAAATTGAGACGAGAAACGAATCAAAAGTATTGCGTCGCAATACTTTTGATTCGTTTCTTGTCTCAATTTGATATCTGCAGAAAATCTGTGTTAATTACAATTTTTTTCTATTTTTAATTAGGCGTAGATTAGGACCTAAATATTAGGTCCCTGAGAAGTTAGCTTCGATGCTGAGAGTCGAAAGCAATTTTTTCGAAAAGAAAACCAAAAAGAATTCAGTAATTTTTACAAAGGATTTATGTTCCTACAGTTAGTGTCGAAAACTATTTTTTAGGGTTTTTTAGAGATGAAAATGGCACTAATTTCACTCTTTTTATTGAGGCGCATGATTATTCCCCAAAATGACATTTGACCGAACTGTCATTTTACCAAATTGCATTTTTTCGAATTGTCATTTTTACAAAATGTCATTTTTACGAATTGCCACTTTTGCAAAAAGTCATTTTTTCGAAGTATCATTTTTACGAATTGTCACTTTTACGAATCGTTATTGTTCCGAAATGTCATTTTTGTGAATCGACATTTTTACGAATTGTCACTTTTGCGAATCGCCATTTTTACGAAATGTCATTTTTGCGAATCGACATTTT